AATCTTCGCTCCCTAATCTTCTTCATTACCATTAATACCTCTACTATCTCTATCACTATGGGATTTGATTTGACATTAGCGTCTCTGTGTGCTAATAATGTGGTATGGCAACATGAACTTATGTACATACGTACGAAGTTCTACGTTGCAACTGACTGAATTATGTCATAATAAAGAAGGTAATCGGAAAGAAGAAAAAGCGAGAAATTAGTATCAAATAGTAGGTGTTAATGAAAATATTCATAAAAGTACATGGGATGGAACAAGGAAGCGAAGCTACCGTGTCGTGTGCACACACACACACAGACTTTTCAGAAATCGAAATCATGAATTGATCAATATTGGACTAGCACCATTAGAAACCTGGAAGCACTGAAAGACAGACGTTTCTTCCTAGTGTATGGGACTACTACTCTTCAGTAGTGCACGCATTCATGAGCTACGCATGCAGGAATCGAACGCAGGACCTTTGACGTCTCACACGAACAAACACACTTAGTTTTTGGACTACCAAGCAGGCAGGCCTCTAATGGTGTCAGTGCCTAACTTCAATCAATGCACGATACTGCGAAACCGCGAGCGGGGGTCATGGATGCACATTGATGATGAGTAGTCTCATACTCAAACAAAACGATAATCTTCCAGTGCTTCCACGTTTGTTTCAATGGTAGTTTAACACTGATAGATTGGCAGTGTCACTGGAATAATATAAGGCAGATAATGTTGAACATCATCAACATCACCAAATAGTATATAGTAGGTAAGAATTTTAAAGTATACAACTAAATTGTTTGACTTAAAAATATATTCACCTAAAGAACATTCACGGATAGCAGTTACAAAATCAATTTTGAAAAAAAAAATACTATTTTGTAAATAATGTGTAGGACAATGAAGTCATTTAGACAGATTGTTCTCATTGTTACATTTTTTTTGATTGATAGTTTTTATTTATTTTGAAGTGAGATCAAGTGCTATAACCACCATACTATAATTACAGTAGTATAATGTGTAGGCTAAAAGTAAGTGGTTTATATATCAGTGAGTCAGTCAGTCAGCTACAATGTAGAAGTTGGTACGTACGTACATCAGTTTAAGTAACTATACCACATGAACACAAAGAGATCTATTTATCAATATTAATCCTATAATAATAAAGGTTGTAGCAGTCAGTACGGACGGAGCGAACTGCTGTGCAACAGACTCGTCCTTTGGTTGGTAGACGGATACCTCCCCTACGTCATAAGTTGGCAAAAGCCATTCGAACCTTCTGTATCTTTGACGAGATTTCGTCACACGTCAGGCCATTAGGACTGGTGGGCCTTCGAAGATCAGTGAAGCGGACAATACATTCGACTAATTCACCTCCTATCACTAGTTCAGGTGCCAACGCAAACCACTCCTGAGGAAGGGGTTATAAATGGTCCCTTGGGCTCTGCAGCTACGCTCCTAGGTCTTTAAGACCAACGCTAATCTGCATTCCTTTTCAAGTTTCTCAGCAAACATCCTTCTACGGTGTGGGCAGCCGGGAAGTCAAATCTGCCCTCATACCCGTACCAGCACAAGGGACCGAACTGGTGCTTAAGTAGGTAGTTAAAGTGAAACCTGAAGACATCTAGGTGTATGGCTAACTGAATAGATAATGGCGATCGTCTGCTGCAGCTATGTCCAGATAAGCGCCAATTTTTAGCAAATAATAACATTAAGCATAAGACATGGCGACCGCCAAAACTGAATCAATGCTTGATTCAAATAAACCATATAGAGATTAAATATTGTTGAGGAGGCTCGATAGAAGACTGCTGCACATTCTAGAGTACATGTTTAGACTCAGACCGTGCTCTAGTACGAGCATATGAATATCTGTGTCTTACTGGGAAAAAGATAGCTAGGAAAACCTTAGAGTTCTACTTTATGATAGAAAAAGTCAATAAATTTCAGGGACAACTGAAACAACAGTTCATCGACCATATAAGTGGGATTCGAACTGAGACAATTTGGAACGATACCTCAATAAAAGCTTTGGAAACAGTACTGATATCTGCCAGTGCGTTAAGTCAGTGAGTTAGGGAGAAGCAGTGGATTTTATTTGCATCTATTGAACTGATACATGCTGGAAAACTCATTACGTATGGCTCTGAACATGATGAGGAACAGAGGTAGCTTAAACACAGGCTGATAAAACCACACACACACACACACACAATGATCGCGAACAGTGGTGGGTAGCAGCGGTGATAGCTAACAGTGGAAAACGGTTCAGACTTGGCAAGCAAACTGGCATTAGGAAAGCGAAAGTTAGTGAAACCATCGTGTAGAAAGACAGGAATATTATTTATCCTCAATCCAGGAGACTGGATCGATGGGCAAAACACCTGGGGGGGGGCAATTCAACTGGCCGGTAGCCACATTTCGGTTACCCACGATCTCCAGTCAACCTGAATAGCGAACTGACCTAAATCCTAAGAATCTTAATGAAGTTGAAAAGGCTATAGGAAATCTAAAGCGAAGAGCAGAAGATCGTGATGGATAAACCCCTGAGATTTCTAAGGATGACGGTCTAGTTTCAGTAGGTAGATTGACTGAGATCTTTGGTAAAATCTGTGAATGGGGCTTAATCTCATCTGACTGGTCTCAATCTCTGATTGTTCCAATTTATAAGAAAGGAAAAATGTCCTCTTGTGACACTTACAGAAGAATCAGTTTAACTAATATAGTGTCTAAATTGTTAGCCTCGATAATCCTTAGACGTCTAACTAGAGCTTTTAAATAGCGAACTCGACAAAACCAGGCTGGTTGCAGACCCGGACCGGGGTGCATAGACCGAATATACACACTTTGGCAGGTCTTAAAACATAGGTACATACTTCAACGTCCTACAAATTGTTGTATTCCTCGACTTGAAGGCAGTCACTCTTCAAGTTTCTCCTAACCAATTACTACTCGAAATATGGACCTCTTTTGAGGTAGAAAGGTTAGTCATGAATAGAACGACCCGATCACGTCACTCGATTTTAACACTATCAATCCGTTTGCCATTTATAACTAGCATCTTTTATACTGATAACCTAGGTGATCGGAAAACATCTGCGGTTCGGAATGAGAGGACTACATGAGTTCTGTTTCCATAGGCAATGTTCTACAGATATAAAAGTCCATAAAAGACTATAGAGTAGTAAACTCTCGCTTGTGCCACACGCAATATAAGTAGTTAGAGGCCGAAAGAGCTTTTAAGTTCTGTCTCAAAATTTTACTAGACACAAACGCACTAGGGTTGTTGGTACTTTTAAGTCATGCGATCCGTGTTTCTAACTGTTTCATAACCAATCGTTCAAGGTCTCTAACCATTGATTACTTTCGTCTCGCGGTCCTCAACCAGGTAGTCTGCATCTACCAACATGACTCATTTCACTTGTCAGTGACTTCATGGATTTGTGCCATGTTTTGGTCTGGCCGCCCCTAGATTTCTTCCAACCTACTCTTAAACCACAACAAAAAATAGCTCGTCGAAGCAGTCGGTGGTCGGACATACGTAACACATGTCCCAACCACCTCAACTGATGACGTTTCAATACTTCATCAACTGAGTCGCCATCCCTACATAGTACTCGTTTCCCAATAACTGCCTTACTTACTTGGTTGCCCCAGGATACACGAGCAGTACTTCGAAGACATCTATAACCCAATACTAATAACCTGTGAATGTCCTCATCTCTTACCGGCCATGTTTCACACTCGTAAAGTAGGAGCGAAATGCTGCGCAGTAGACTTGTCCTTTGGTTAGCAGACGAATATCTCCCCTACGTCATAAGTGACGTAAGTTAGCAAAAGCCAACCGAGACTTTTGTATCCCTCCGGGGCTAGGCATGGGGTTGGCGACCCTATTCCGCAACAAAACTAACTGGCTAAAAATAAGCTACCCAGAAAACATAATTCAAACCATTTAAACTCTGCTCTAGGAGTTAGAAGGTCTTCATTTAGAAGAGTTATGACGTCGCATGATGAAAGCTGAATTCTTTCAGAAATCATGAGGCCGATGCCCCTACTGACAACCAGAGCCCATGCACAGTGTGGGCAGCTTAGAAGTAAAATCCGCCTTAACACGAGATCAAATCGATCAGAATCAGTAAGATTGAGAATTCTCTTTTGGAACAAAAAATTCAGCATGACATTGTTCTTGTCAAATAATTTTTATCAACTAAAAATGATGTAGAAACATAATTCGAATAATGTTTTATCAATCTCATTTAGAGCATATCGCCAGTTTATTCACAACTGTTGAAGATCAAGTAAACATGGTTTAGACAAGTCTTTTGTGCTAGTTGCAATCTTATGCAAAAGTTGATCAATAGAATATTGGGTGTCTTTTATCTGGTTTAATTTCCGGCATAAATATTTTAAAAAATACACTTCATTTTCGTTCAGTGTTTATTTAGGCTTCTACATCAATACACAAAGTACAGTAGTAATTACTAATTTCTTTCTAGATAGAAAGCAGGTCGAGCGATGTTTTGTGATGTAGGAGCAGGTTGGAAGAAAGTTAGGGGCGGCCAAACCAAAACATGGCAGAAATCCATGAAGTCACTGATAAGTGGAATGAGTCATGTTGGTAGATGTGAACTACCTGGTTGGGGTTCACGAGACGCAAGTCACCAATGGTTAGAGACCTTGAACGATATGGCTGAAAATGATGCAGTTGCATCCACTCTTTGTGTTCTCTGAAATTTTAGTCTTCTGAATTCCTCATCATCTCTCTATCTCTTGCTAAAGTTATCTCACCGAGTTACACTTCTCGAATTGTATCTTCGCTCTCTAATCTCCATTACCAGTAATACTTCTACTAACTCTACCACTATGGGATTTCAGTTGACAATTGCATCTCTGCGCTAATGTGGTATGGCAACCTGAATTGATGTACGCACGTACAAAGTTCTACGTTGTAACTAACTGACTGTAAAAGTAGCTAACACAGTACAAACGTAAAACAAAATTACACTTACTGATGTATCGATTTTTTTCATTTCTTCTTCCGATAGCTGATATAAACTATCATCGATCGATGTGGCAGACGATGATGTTGACGATGTAACATGATTTGTATCTGTTGTTTCTTTCATGACAATATGATTCCCATTAGTATGATTATTATTATTATTATTGAATGTAATTCCTTGATGAATACTTGTACATTCATTGTCTATACTATGTGTAGAATTAATTTGATTACTTGACAGAGTAGTAGATAAATTAGAAATATGTGTATTACTATCAATATTATGATTATGATGATTAGTATGTGAAATTATATTTCCATTTGAACAAGTCACATCAATTGGTTGACTACAGCATACATGATTGACAAAATTTACATGAGGTAAATAATGATGATTTGTTTTATTAATGAATAAATCACAAGTGGAATTATGAATTAATTTGGAATGATCATTATTGTTAGGATGATGATGATGATTATCATTGACTGGAAGTGATTTTGTTGGATTCGGCGAATCATTGATTATGGTAGATGAGGTGATCGGTGTTAAATAACTATCTGAATGTTGTGTTAAACATGTTGAATGATGATTATTGTTATTATTATTATTATTATTTGTAAAATAATAATTCGAAGAAATATATGCATATTGATCAGATAAAGAAGACAATGTATGATTACGACAATGATTGGTTGTGGTAGTAGCACTAGTAGTAGTAGTAAGTGATGGTAGCGATGATTTAATTGTTGTAGATAATGTAAAGAAATTATTAGTCAATTGAGAATTTGCATTTACATTGAATGCATTGATTAGGCCATTATCATTGCATAAATCATATGCAACAGCTAATGCTGTACCTAAACCAAGACTACCAACATGTACTTCCGTTTTATCATTATTAATTGTAGTGGATTCTAAACCATTGGTTGATTGCCGTGGATTATCAGTAGTCTATGAGGAAAAAAATCAATAAGTAAAAGGAAATCTATGAAGTAGTTTAATGATGAAATGGTAGTAGAAAAAAAGGACTTTTCTAAAAAAATTCAGTTAAATTATCATTTATGGAGTGGAAATAAAGCTTTGGAGTAGTAGTAGTTGGAGTAATAACGGAAACACAGAAAAACGATTACATATAACGTGTACCAAAGAAGTACATTAACCTTATACAAGCTCTCAACTAGAGTAAGTAATGCTGGTGTTAGGAATAGAGTATTAAGTAAGGATGGCAGATCAATAGATAAAATAGTGAGACTTCATCATTTGTGGACATGTGTTACGTATGCTCAACCAACGAACGCCTCGAAGAGAGATGCTTTGTGGTGTAAAGGTAGGCTGGAAGAAATTTATGGCGGCCGAACCATAAACATGGCAAAAATCCATGAAGTCACTGACAACTTGGCTGTGCTATGTTAGAAGGTGAAGGTGTAACTAACAGGGACATCACTTAGGTAAATCTTGTATGAATTAACATTTGTAGCAGATATAGGATGATGAACTCAGATAAGGCTACTCACATATGGGAAAAATCAAGATCCTCCGATGCAACTCAGCATGCACTAACCAAATCAGACTTGATGAAGAAGCTTTGGATAATGTAAAAACCTATACACACATGGGCAGTATCATTGATAAACAAGGTGGATCTGATGCCGATGAAAAGACACGGACTAGCAAAGCAAGGGCGACATTTCTACAATTGAGTAATATCTGGAATTCAAAACAACTGTCTGTCAACTAACACCAAAGTTACGATTTCCAAAACGAAAATCAAGACAGCTGTTCAGTTGTATGGAGCGGAAACTTGGAGCGCTATGAAAGCGAAATCAAAAGCCTTGGAAACAAATAACAACCAAGGATTGACGATTAGATAAGTCTGTTCGGAGAGATCAGCAAGTATTAATAACATGATATTGATAGTCAAACTTTTAACTTGTTAGATTATTTCGCTTTGTCGCTGATCAAAAACTTTGATACTTCCTAGCTTTGAAATAGGATTAGGTGTAATTATTGAGCTTCGTAAATGATAAACACGATATTCAGAGAGTGATAGTGCTGAGAGCAGAAAAGTTCAGAATGGTAAATGATAACACGTGAGCAGTTTTCAAAAACAGACATCTACAGATACGTTGAGAGTACAAGATGTAAGATGTAAAAAGCTAGTGCAGAAAATTTACACAAGTACAGAATTACGCCGTACGAAAAAACGTCAAACGATGGAGTCTGAAAACTATATAATGGATAGATTGTCATAATAATATGATTTCACCAAACGCAAAAGATTTTTAATAATAAAGTCCACTTCCTTCGACAACTATTCAGTCAAACAAACCCCCATTCCCTACAACTAAATGATCCCATCATCCCTTTTTTATGGACAATCATTGCTACACAGAAAATGTTATATCGCCAAACTTGCACATAATTGATGTTATACATAACGGAAAATCACTTCATGACTAACACGATTTTAGGGATAAAGGGCACATGATGCGAATGTATTGTGAACTATGATAAACAATTGTGACAACAAAAATAATTACAACTCACCAGCACAATATTAGTTGTTCCTAATTGATTCACAGGAATGGACATTTTAAGCCCGGCATTGCTATTTGACTTAAATTGCCGCTCAAAATTCGAGCTTAAGAAAATGTGATTTTGAAAAACAACAAGATTTTTAGATTGGATAAAGCTTATATGTAGTTGTTTGTAATTTATGAAGAAAATTGTTCTAACTTTCTAACGAAAGCGCCGAATTCGACTTTGCGATTTGGCGCAATTTGGCGCAATTTGCCAAGTTTGGTAAAATGTACAGTACTATCTTGTTTTCTCAGTATGTTCAAAGAAAAATGTTGAATTGGAAAATTTTATTCATTTGACAACATCCACAACCAATCTAGCGCATTTTGAACTCTAATGGATTATGTGAAGTCAACAGGATGCTACCAGCCCCTAACACCAGACCATTCGTCTGTTTCTTCTCTAGCTGAAGATGTAGCTTTTGCTGACATTACAAAAGTCAGCTCAGAAGAATTTGCAGTAAGTGTACCTTAGAAATAACTCTTCAGAAACAAATCACCTTGATAGAGCTCTCATTTTTCAAAGCCATACACCGAGAAGTAAGACATTCAAAGCGTTTTCATGTATTCTATAGGAATTCGCAAGTCTGAAATGGAATGGAAAAGAAAAACACCTATACGCTCCTAATATTGTTGCTTCAACTAGATGGTTCAATCAAGTAATACATGCTTACTGTTTTAATGTCTTTAGGTTAATTTTTGGGTTCAGAAGGAAATCCTGAAATACTCATGTGTTTCAAAGAGAACTGAGATGTTGTCATTTTTCATCAAAATCTCCAAAGTGAGTTTGTGTTCGATAAATTCATCGAAATATGTTTTGGAGTTTTACTATTGTTGTGACTATGAACTTTGTTCAACATATTTTGCAGAAATTCAGCAACATCTCTCGAATTATTATCCAGGCATACACTACTGTAGACAACTGACCCCTTTTTTAAATTGTGGCAGGGCATGGAAAAGATAAAACTGATCTAAAAAGTATAATGTATTTACGCTATACATTTTGAATAATCTAATCACATTCGAACTTTATCTGATTTACCTTCATAAGTTTATGTATGTTTCCACGAGTTCATGTTTAGCCAGGTTGCTCAGAATATGTATCTCAAACACATCACATCTTACAGATCAACTCCGTCTCCTCACTGCCCTTTCAAAGTATAACACTTAGATTGTTCGGTAATATTCATCCTTTTAAACAGTTATTAGAAATTTAACGATTAGCTCCTATCATATGGTTACATAGCTCAAACTGAAATCCTTAAACTGTTGTCAGTGTGGTCATACGATTTACTGTAATCCAAGTTTTCTAGTGTACAGACAGTTTACTGAATCGTTTTTAGATGTGTGAAGTTCCGGCACTGGATATTCGTGTTTCATCATTCCATATTCATGTAGAACAGTATGTTTCTCGTTGTTTGCATTATGTTCTCTAAAAGTTTATCTCCTCAGAAGCACTAACAGACTAGACTTATTTCATACATGTCAACACGTTATTTCAAGCGGCAACTTTCTGTTATAAAAAGTGAAATTGGTTTGAGCTTAATATTTACAGCAAATGTTGTATGACACTTCAAAATTTTTTGTATTGTCGAAAGCGCGACAATTTTTTCACTTTCCTTCTGAATTTTGCCTTGTGTTAATTTAGACTCTTTTTTCCCTCAAACGGCATTGAAGTTTTAATACCTAGATTATGTAACTTTTTATGAATTAAGTTTGTGCAAGTAAAACACGATTATAGTTCAAAGATATTCTTTAATATATAGTTATTAAGTATAAAGTCTTTAAGTAATACAATGAGAAGACAATATATATCAGAACTGAGTGACCCATTCATAAAATGTCTACCAAAAAGTCTGATCAAATTTATTTGTTAATGTATTACTTACTTTCGGCTGTTACATCGACCGCCGCTAACCAGCGAACTATTTTTCTGGCTAATGTCTTTTTTTAGCTAGTTTGATTTCTACGCGATTGGGTCGCTTTTATCCGAGTTTGGGACTGGCAGTAACCTTAAGAGGGCTCCAGGCGAAGTTTTATTGACTTATTATTAGTACAGCGGTCAACTAGAAAAATTGAGCGATAAAAAGAAACAGACAGTTTTGTCTAGTCGATCTTTATTTTCCTAATTACAAATACCTGAACAAGTAAATGTGTGGTTAGGTTGTTTAAAATGTATTGCACTGTTCTGATAAACTGTCTCTTTTAATTGTATGGTATAAATTTATCAAAATGGCCAAGTGTTCCGGGCATATTATTTCTTTCTAATGCTAAAAATAATTTGTTTCCAAACAATTTCAGTTATTTTGTTGCTGTTTTTTTTATCGATTTCTCAACATTAGAAACTTGTGGAATTCAATAACCTTTATTCTGCCATGTCAATAATCTCTGCTCTTCAAGTAGAATGCATTTATCGTTTAAGGCACACATGGGCTGGTCTTGGTAACAAAGATCGAGCAGCCTACAGGCGTTTGGAAGAGCTTTTCAGTCAAGATGATAACTGTCGTCGACAGCGTGAACATATGAATTCAATCAGTCTTCCGGGTATTCCTTATCTAGGTAATTTTTGTTTCATGATCTTGGTTAAACAGTCGTGAGCTGTTGCTCAGTAAAATTTAAGCTTCCTGTGGTTATTTTTATCTTTTGCACAATCTTATGCTGTATAATGTCTCATATGGTGTATAAATAAATTTTTGCATTTCTGTTTAGTTAAATGATAACGTCTATCAACTATTATAATCCAGTTTTATTCATTGATGTATTGATAACTACTATTTAGTTGTATTATTTGAAGTACTTTTTTGTTGGGAGGTTTTAAACGCGATTCACCTTACTTATGTCTGTTACCCCCAATGGAGCATAGACCGCCGATCAGTATTCTCCAACTGACTCTGTCCCTCTATATTTCTGTCTAGTTTTTGTTCATTCTCACGTCTGTCTCCATTTCTCGGCGTAATATGTTCCTTGGCCTTCTTCTTTTCCTTTGACCTCGAAGGTTCCAAGTGAGGGTTTATCTTGTGACACAGTTGGGTGCTTTCCTCAATGTGTGTCCCATCCACTTCCACTGCTTCTTCCTAATTTCTTCCTCCACTGCGATCTCGTTTGTTCTCTCCCACAGTAGGTTGTTGCTAATGGTGTCTGGACAACGGATCCAAAGTATTTTGCGTGCGTGGACAACTGTTAATGGACACTTGTATCTTCTGGATGATAGTTATCGTAGTTCTGAAAGTTGTCGCCACAAACAGTAGAAGTTTTGACACTTGTATTGAAAATTCTGATTTTGATATTGGTTGTTATTTGTCTTGAGTTCCAGATGTTGTGTTCAATTGTAGAAATACAGCCCTTGCTTTGTCGATCCGCCCCTTCCACGCCTGTCAATTCACCTTAGGTCCTGATAACCAAGTAATGAATGACCTTACTAACTCTTACATGTAATGTGGCTCATCCAAAAAATGTGTATATAATTTTATTGAGTGACATGCATTAGTAATTTGACCTCTAAAAATGGATTGGCTTGTTTTAGTAGTTAATTTTTTTTAAAAAAAAATCGATTTTCGTCCGTTTGTCTACCATCTCTCACCATTATGATTGTATTGTGTGCAAGTGAAATTGTATATATATTTTACAAATTGACATTCATTAGAGTATCTCTCTTTTTGTAAACCATAATTTCCAGGTTTATATTTGTCTGATTTAACTTATACAAATGTGGCTCAACCACGTATCAATGGAAAGCCAACTGCTATATGGTATACAAAAATCAATTCCATCATTGATACCATAGCTTATTTTCAACAATCTGAATATTGTGAGTTTGAGAAATTGTTCAATTATATCTTAAAAAAATATTTTCCAACAAATTGCATATTATTACTAATGTGTTGTGTTTATTATTATTCGTAACCTTTTCATAGCTATTAAAAAGCATCTCCTGTCTTCCATCTGATTCGCATAACTTTCAGTCAGTCTTATCATCACTTATTATGAAACACAAAAAAATCTTTTGATTATGTTATAAAAATTTCTCACATACTCCAAAATGTCCTGTTACGATGGCGAATGAAGAGGATTCATTCTCGCTCTTCAAACGCTCTCATATGCCTACGCATGGGTTAAGGTTAGACACCACTAAACATTCACGCTCGAAGCCGAAGGTCTTTTGTTCGCTTCCCACTTATGGGGTTGTGGATGCGCACTACTGAAGAGTCCTACACTGGAACGAAACATATCCATCTAGTATCTCCATGTTTTAAAATAGGAATGTGACATTGATCGGTCCATCATTTCAAAAAACCTTTGATTTTGTTATTGTTGTTGTTGATGATGTATTGTTTGAACTAGATGGTCTACTTGGAAAGCTGTCATCTTCTTAATTAACATTTATGCATACCTGAAATTTTCTTTCATTCTTTAGTGTCTGTCCGTCTAAGTTTTATAATAACGAGCTTTAGTTGACTCATATAAATCAGGGAATAGTTCTTTCTCAATCCATGTTATATATATGACGATTAGTGTTCCATTACCAAAACCAAACTTGTGATTTAGTGATTGGAAATCAACTATCTAACTCAATGAACACTGTCTTAAAGACTACTTGGCTGAGGTCTACGGGACATGAGTAACCGATGGTTAGCGGCGACTTTGAATGAAATGGCTCGAAATCGTTTGCAATGGTGCAAGTGCATCCATCCATTGGCTTCTGTCAAATTCTAATCTTCTAAATCCCTCATGACCGTTTTTTCTTCTCTGAAATTGATTTCACTGGGATATACTTCTCGAGTGTGGTATCGTCAATATCTGACCTTTCCGATTACCGCTAATATTTCTACTATGGGATTTGAATTGACAATTCTATCTCTGCGTGCTAATGTGGTATGGTGCATTGAACCGATGTCAGTTAGATGTTGGATGGTGTAGGCAGGATTTGATTGTAACCTATCTGGTCTCGTGTTCTTTTACGGGTGTGAGTGTGGATGTCACTTCCCGTCTGCCGACATCATGGATGTTTCTTGAGGAACTTAAAAAGGAAAGTAGTTTATTGTTGGTCTTAGAGACTTGTACCTGTACGTACATACGAAGTTCTACGTTGCAGCTGACTTGCTATCATCTGACAAAGTCTTCACACAATAAACTTGTTTGGTTACTTTTATTGTGTTGTTTGGTTTACATACACACTGCGAATACTTTTACTACCTCTACTACTACTGTGAGATTTGGATTGACCATTGTGTCTCTCTGCGTGCTAATGTGGTATGACAATGTAAACTGGTTGTTTTTTTGATTGACTGACTGTTTCGTCCTAGCATGGGACTCATCAGCTGTGCGGATCCATTACTCATACTGCTCGCAAGAGAACAATTTGTTTGCATTTTAATTCCGACTAAGATTTTGATGGTTTTAATTTAACCGATACACTTAGTTAATCTAATCGGTACATGTACTCACACATACACACAAATACGAAGACAATTTTTCTTTAAAACCACTTAATTACTAAAATTAGTTGCATAAACAGTATAAATACAAATTGATATTGTACGTAAATGCATAATTGTTCCTTGTTACAAATAATAATAATAATAATAATAATAATAATAATAATAATAAAGAATCAATGAAATGGGCACTGAAGATTGTTGAGTTTTATTGATAGATAGACCGCGGTTGGAAACCTGGAAGTATGAGAACAATGGCCCCTGGTTCGACCCCTGTTTTCGGGATTATCGATGCTCATTGCGAATGAATAGTCCCATAGTTGGAGGAAACGGTTTTCGATTGCTTCCATATTCATGGTTCCAATGAAAATCAGATAGTCGAATCATAGCATAACATTGAAAATTGAAACAAAGTTACAATTGAATGGATTAAAAAAAACGTTAATACAGCAGCTTAAGAGGGAAGTTCACTGCTCATGATGAAAAACTCCATATTTTGAGATGTAACGTAGAACTTCGTACGTACGTACATAAGTTCAGGTTACTATACCAACCACAGCATAGAGACGCAACTGTCATTTCAAATCCTATATTAGTAGAGATAGTAGAAGTATTAGCAGTAATGGAGAAGATTAGGGTTCGAAGATATTATGATTTGAGGAGTGTAATCCAGTGAGAAAAATTTAGAAGGAGAAAGATAGAGATCATGAGGAATTCAGAAGGTTAGGATTTGAGAGAACATAAACAGTGGATGCACTTGTGCCATTGCAAACAATTTTGAGGCATGTTGTTCATGGTCTCTAACCATCGATTATTATCATCTCGCGGACCACCCCAACCAAATAGCCTACATCTACCAACATGACTCAATCCACTTATCAGTGACTTCATGGATTTCTATCATGTTGCTTGCTATCATCTGACAAAGTCTTCACATAATAAACTTGTTTAGTTTACATAATATTGTTCAGAATCTTTTGATATGAAATAATTAAAACTTTTTCAATGTATTTTCTTAATTAATTTAGCTTTTACTGTCGATGAAACATTGAACGCTTATTTATGCGCTCAACGTTACATTGAAGAATTACAAAAATTTCTTGAAGAAGACAATTATAAAACTTCAGTAATTTTAGAACCTCCTCCTACGCTACCCACACCATCTTTATCCTATTTACCACAAACAATATATGCTACTAATTCTTCAATTATTTGTAATTCAAATAATAATAATAATAGTAATACTACTGACAATTTTGACATTAGTAATACTAATTTAAAAAATCAAATGAATTCATCAACAACAGAGAATTGGAATAATAATAATAATAATAGTGGATTTATATTTCGATCACCATCGAAATTAACTAATTTTGTTCAGAATACAAAAAGTTGTCATCATCATCAACAACATCCACCACATTATCAAAATCATCATCGTCATGGATCGAATGTTTCATGTAAAGTTGCAACGGTGAATTCAAGTTTTGAAGCTGACATTTTACCAGATCCATTAATAAAAAAAAAGTCAATTGTTACACATTCAATTGATCAGTTAAACAATTCAAGTGTTCAAGTGTCCAATCTGAATTTAAATAAAAATGATCCTTTTAAACCAATGCATAAAGTAGTATCTTGGGAACAACCGGAAGATGTTATGCATACAAATAATAATGACACCAATCAATTAGATCTTCAATTGAAAGAATTTTCTACTATGCCAAAGATTACTACTGAAAATTCTTTAGATGTATGTTTATAAATGAATGTTAAATTGTCAATGTAGTATTTGTTTTTGTTTTTATAAATGTCGATTTAAAAATTGTTTATTTTGTTGCGGTGTATGTAGCTACAGAAATCTATGAAGTCACTGACAAGTGAACTGAGCCATGTCGGTAGTTGTCGACTACCTGGTTGGGGGTCCGCGAGACGAAAGTCACCAATGGTTAGAGACCTTGAACGACATGGCTCAAAATCGTTTGCAATGGCGCCGGTGCATTTATTCTTTATGTTCTCTCAAATCCTAATCTTCTGGATTCTTCAACACCTCTAGTTTTGTCTTTCTAAACTTTTCTCACTGAATCATACTTCTTGAATAATAATATCTTCTAATCCTAACCTCTCCGATTACTTCTAATACCTTTACTACTTCTTCTACTATTGGATTTGAATTGACAATTATATCTCTGTCCTGATGTGGTATGGCAACATGAACTGATGTACTTTACTTACGTACGAAGTTTCTACGTTGCATCTGTCTGTCTGTTTTTAAAAAAAAAATTTTTTATCCGGTTTGATTTGATTTCCAAATCAAAAGTATAGTGATCACAAGTGACTAGCTTCGTGAGGGAATTCTCAGAGATCTAGTGAGGTGATGTGATCACTGGAAGTAGTTCAACTCTGTTGGGTGTAGGCAGTTACCTACCGAAGGCGATGGGTGGGGCTGCTCAAATTCCTTAGCTTAATCAGAGTTAGTGGACATTAACACCGTTGTATGTCAGCTCAGCAGTGGTCCAGAGGTTAGGCGTTCGGGCGCAAGACCGAAGGTCCTGGATTCGAATCCTGTGAGCAACTGGGGTCGTTCGTGGATGTACATGGCTGATGAATCTCATACCAGCCAGGACGGAAGCGCCGTCTTTCGGTGACTCCAGGTTTCTAATGGTAGTCTAACAGTGATTCATTCATGCTTTCAATGTGTAAAAGCAACGATCACCATCATGCCATAATGCAAAAGTATAGTATTTGTTTATTTTTTGGTGTGCTATTTTTCCAGTTAATTTGCATTACTGTTAGAATACGTTTTTACATCCATCAGTTTAAATTGTAGTGATTTTTCTATTTCATAAATTCCCTATGTACGTAGTTCAATTGATTTAGGTGGGTTTATTTTATTTCTAATCCCCATATGACTTATATGAATAAAAGTAATTTGATATTTTTTTTAATCGACTTTCCCTACTTTAATTTTGGACAGCTGATTTATGTTGTTAGTAACTGTTTATACATAAAAGAGTTGTGATTCAAAACTCGTTGTCGGGAATTTTACTTGCTTATTCGGAGGGAGGGAGCTATATGAAATTATTGAAAACTCAAACTTTAGAGGTGTAGGAAGGTTCTGATTACAGCTTATTTGGTCTCTTGTGCTGTTACAGGTGTGAAGGTGGTTGTCACTTCCCGGATGCCCATACCGTGGAATGGCATTTCTTGAGGAATCTGAAAAGGAGGGTAGATTAGCGTTGGTCTTCAAGACCTGGGAGAGTGACCACAGAGTCAAAGGGACAAGTGCTTGGGGCCGGTCATGCACGGCCTTTTTATGAAGGAAGCAGCTGCGGTCGGGTTGATACCTCAGTAATTATATAATAACTGTAGAGTTATGGAGATTGTTATCTTTTGATTAAGATCATCAGTTGATGATTGTTAGATCAGCCATTAGAAACCTGGATTCTTTGGACTGTTGTTTCCTCATAGTATGGGATTCACTAGTAAAGAGTTTCATGAAGAAATTCTCGGAGCTCTAGTGAAAAGCCGTGACCAGTGTAGTTCAACCCTGTCGAGTGTAGACAGTTACTTACCGAACATAATGGGTGGGATTGCGCAAAACCTTAGATCGATCAGAGTTAGGTGTTAAGACCGAAGGTCCTGGATTAAAATTCCCACTTGCACGGGTTTTGAACGTGCACTGCTGATGAGTGGTCCCGTCTTTCAGTGCTTCCAGGTTTCTAACGGTGGTTTAACAGTGATCGAATCATGGGGCTAAGTTAGTCAGTCAGTCAGATGCAACGTAGAACTTCCTACGTAAGTAAGTACATCAGTTCATGTTGCCATACCACATTAGCACAGAGACGCAAATGTCGATTCAAATCTCATAATGGTAGATATGGTAGGAGTACTACTGGTAATAGAGAGGATTAGGGTTCGAAGATATTCTTCAAGAAGTATAATTTAGTGAGATAAGTTTAGAAAGACAAAAAAGTAGAGGTGTTGACGAATCCAGAAGATTAGGATTCGACAGAACATGGGACTAAGTATGGTGTATGTGTGCGTGCGTGTGCGTGTACATAATTTCAGAACAGTATCATTCAAAATCCATCATACATTCATTCATATTAGTAACTGTGAACAATACGTGTTCTACATTTTGTTCAGTTTTGACATAATTACTAGATAATTAACTAAACTGTGGAACCAACATGTCACAATGTTGATCTGAATAGTTTTTTTTGTTTGTTTGTTTTTAATATGTAAAAATTTGCATAATCATTTTGTTTTTTTAAGGTCAAACCATGAACGACCTAGAATGTATGTGTTAATTTTCGGTTATTTGTCATTCATTGACGAGTTGAATATATATTGATAATGTAAAATAATACAACAAACTCATCAAACTTTTAAACTATTTACTTGCTGCTACATTTACAAAATTGGCTTGTTTTCATAGTTTCCTTTGTTTTCTTGCATATTGGTGTTTTCATTCATTCTATTGCTGATATCCGTTTACTAGCTAAAGGATGAGTGTACTTACTGCGCAACAGTTCACTCTGTCCTATTTTATGACTGTGAAACCTTTGCCAGTCAAAGTAGAAGATATTCATAGGTTACTGGTTTTTGATCATAGGTGTCTTCGAAGCATTGCTCGTGTATTGTTGGACAACCGAGTATGCTATGCTGTTGTTAGAAAACGAGTATTAGGTAGGGATGGCAGATCAATAGATGAAATATTGAAACTTCATCAGTTGAGGTGGTTAGGATATGTGTTACGAATGCCCAACCACCGACTGCCTCGACGAGCTATGATTGTGGTGTAGGAATAGGTTAGAAAAAAGTTAGGTGCGGCCAAACCAAAACATGGCACAAATATATGAAGTTGCTGACTGACGAGTGGACTTAGCTATGTTGGTACGTGTAGACTACCTGGTTGTGGTCCGCTAGACGATAGTAGCAGATAGTTAGAGACTTTGAAACCGTCTGCAATGGCGTAGGTGTATCCATCCTTTGTGTCCTCGCAGATTGTAATCTTCTGAATTCCTCATGACCTTCATCTTTCTCTTTCACTGGATTCTTCTTCTTAAATCATAGCTTCGGACCGTGTTCTTTCTATTTGCTGCTCATACTTCTACTACCTCTACTACGATGGGATTTGAATCGACAATTGCGTCTCTGCGTGCTGATGCGGTACGGTAACTTTAACTGATGTGCATACGTAACTGACTGACCGACTAATTACAAAACCTAGGCCTCCTTTCAAGCGAAGAAAAAGTTCACCAACCTAATGTACTCCTTTCATTCGAACAGTAACACGATAACTATAATCAAATCAGTGAATAAGTATATTTTTACAATACTACTTCATTGGATAGAATTGTACAGTCGTTGATCTTAGTAAATCACTGATATAACTGTATTTAATATTTAGTGTATTGATTTTCCACAAATCTTCTCATGTAACTAACTCACTGTTGATTGTGCTTCCTAGTTTGTTTTATTCATGTCATATTCAGTTGGTTTTCTATTTCTTTCTAACAACTGTCAATTTATTGTATTACTGGGTTGTGAAAATTGTTAGGTTACTCATTGAAATCATGAATCGATCAATGTTAGACTACCATCAGAAACTTGAAAGCATTGTACAGCCGTTTCGTGCTGTGGCAGTGCGCGTCTAATACTTCCTGCATCTCGCAGGATTCAAACGCAGGACCTTCAGTCTTGCGTGCTAATGCCTAACCTCTGGAGCACTGGACCGGTATCTAACGGTGTTAATGTCTACCTTCGATGATGATCTAACACTAACCGATTCATGAGTCCAATAAGTAACTTAACAATCTTCATAACCCCGTAATGCAATTACATGTGCTCACTAGTGACTAGCTTCTTGAGGAATCTTCTCCGAGGTCTGGTGAGAAGTCGTGACCAGTCAAGTTTGACCTATTCGGGTGTACACAGTAACTACCAAAAATAGTGTATAAGTTTGCGCAATCCCGTGAATTGATCGAAGTTACACATTAACACCGTCAGGTGCCGGTCCAGAGGTTATGCATTTGCGCGCAAGACCGAAGGTCCTGGGTCCGAATCCTGCGAGGTGCAGGAGTTGTGGACGCGCACTGCTGATGAGTTCCATACCAGGAGGAAACGGCTGTCTTTCAGCGCTTCCAGGTTTCTAATGGTGGTCTAACAATGATTGATTGATGACTTCAATGTGTATATAAACTGTGCTTAACAGTTAATTTGTAAAAGATGCCTTGTTCATTTATTAAGTTTTTATAAATTTAAATTATATGAATGACCCTATTGTATCTATTTCATCTTGTTATTATGATTATTGTTATTATTAGGTGACAAAATCCACTTCAAAATGTCAATCGAATAGTCAAGAATTGGAGTTTGTTTTTTCCACATGTATGCAAAGTTCACAATTGCCTCCGATTCCACCTCGACCATTTATTGATTTTGAACAAGCCAAACATTCAACACTTAGTCGATTAGAATTAAACTCGACTCAATTGACGACCTGTAATAATAATTCGAATGTAGCGACAACTGATCAATGTCTTCCTGCTACTTCATCATCATCATCAAAATCAATCAGTCAATCGTCAGCAAATTATTGTAAATCATTTTCTGTCATCGAATCATTACCACCATCATCATCGTTACCAACGAGTCATGTTACACAATCAAATCTACCTAGTACAAAATCAGTGTAAGTTTTATTTTTCATTACTCTTTTCGTACGTGTATGTACACACATCATTTCAAGTTGCCATACGAAATTAGTACACACTGATCGGTTTGTCCATAGTAGTAGATGTGTAGTGAACGAGAACACAGGTGGGGCAACCGAATTGTATTTAACGAAAATTACAGCGTTACTCAGTAAAATTGGAAAACCATATCGTAAATCGTTCATTTGCAAAATATCAGTCCATCATATCAAACTGGACTGTTTCTGTTGCAAAACATCAATCCATTGTCACTATTCATGCGTTTCATTCAAATTCCATTGTTTTCTAACTCTTCCTTTCTTGATCTCCCCCCATATTCTGCTGCCAGACATTACGTTGACACTCACGTCATATACTACTCATAAGTAGCTTGCACCACAGATGTAGTAGAAGTATTCGGGGTAGTTAAAAACATCCAGGATTGAAGATATTATTCGAGAAGTATGTCCCAGTGAAGTAAATTTTACAAAGAGAAAAGAAACTATCATGAAGAACTCTGAAGATTAGAATATGTCAGTCAGTCAGTTACAACGTAGAACTTCGTTGATGAGATTCCTCAGATAAGTGAAGCGGTCGACATGCTCAACTGCTTCACTCGCTATCACTAGTTCAGGTGCTGATGCTGGCCAATCGTGAAGCAACATTTTGCATTTCGACGAGGAGAATCGCATCCCGAACATGCTTGCATTGTTGCTCAGGGTGATCAGAAGACTCTGCATTTTGTCACCGTCTTCACCAAATAGAACTATGTCATCGGCATATTCTAGGTCAATAAGCGAGTCTCCTTGTAGAAGGTCCACTCCTGAAAAGTCAAACGATGATGTTAACTCTAAAAGCAAGTCTATGATAAAGTTAAACAAGAATGGAGAGAGTGGACAACCCTGACGAACACCACTTGAAGTGGGGAATTCCAGTGACAGTTCGCCATAAGCTTTCACTCGACCAGTGGTGTTCGAGTAGAGAGCTTGTATAAGGTTAATGTACTTCTTTGGTACACCTTTCAATGACAGACGCTGCCACAGAATATCACGATCTGCTGAGTCAAATGCCGCTTTTAGGTCCAGGAAAACAACTATTATAGGACGCCTAAATGTGTGTCTGTGTTCCATGACCTGTCGTAGTGTGAAGATGTGGTCTATACAACCACGTCCAGGTCGAAAACTAGACTGGTTTTCTCGAGTCTGCTCTTCACGAGCTTTCGTTAAGCGTCGAAGTATTATTGAGGCCAATATTTTAGATACTATATTAGTTAGACTTAATCCCCTGTGATTGTCACAAGAAGACTTTTGTCCTTTCTTATAGATTGGGACAATCAAGGATTGAGACCAGTCGGATGGGATTACGTCCAGTTCCCAGATTCTACCTAAGATCTCAGTCAATCTAGCTGTTAAAACTGGACCACCATCCTTAAAAATCTCAAGAGTCAATCTATCGGGTCCTG